GAGGACCTAATGTCGGGGGTTTCAATGGAGAGAAAATGTTTTGAGAAACGATGTACAAATGCTCTTTACACAATTGATGTGTGTATGGATTGGGATAACAGTTGTATGAGCCCCTAATAAAATGTTAAAAAATAAATAAATAAATAAAATGGAAAAAAGAAAGAAAGAAAAAAAAAAGAAATTAACTTTCAAGCCAAGAGGAAGCGAGAAGATAAGAACTTCAAAGTCATATCACTAAATTAAAATGGCAATTTTTGTAGCCTATATACTGTATGACTCTACCTACAGGTAGCACTGATTTAAAATGGAGAAATGACATGGGGATTATATCAGACCTTCTCTAACTTTTAGGGAAAACAAAAATCAAAATCATCATCCTCAACCACCCAAGAATAATTACTATGAGGCAGAGGTCAGACATGACTCCATGCTTTAAATATTCTACCAATTATGATTTTTCCTGCCTTAATGTATACAATGGTAAACTGCTCAAAACCCCAAAAGCCAAATAGTCCCCCCTCCTTTCTCTCTCTCTCACAGGCCTTTCCTTCAAATGTAAATCCCCTCTTCTCTCTGCAACCCTAAATGGGAATCCGGAGCTCCTCAAATCTACATTTCTCAGAGGCGTGCTCTGGTTTTCAGAGCTGCTGCATCAAATCAACAGTCTATGTTTTTGTAACTTCCACCAAACGACCTTCCCTTTCCTGATGGACCTGGGTAAGATGGTGGACGATGCTACCTGTTGGGTTGTACCATAACCGTGAGTGAAGGTCCAGAGGAATCACTGTGATTGTCAACCTTGGGGTATAAAATGAGCTATCACAAAAGCAAGAGTGGGAATCTCACCACCAGAAAGAGAAAAAAGCCAGCACCGGTGCTTGTCTCTTTAACCTCATGACAACTGTGCCTTGAACCTTCTTGATGCAGGAGACAGCTTGGGCGCTAGAGAAGCCGCAAGGAACGGCAACAGCAGACCCTGCAGTTAGAGCTTGACACAAGGCTGTGTGGACTTCCCGCCACAAAGCGAATCAAGCTGAGTGCTTTGGGGCAGGGGCTGGCTTCTGGCATGGGTGCCTCTGGGCACTAGATTGAGGTAGCTGGATTTGCTGACCTGTAGAGCTAAATCTCAGTGCCCTTAGTCAAGCTTTCAGTGATGTGAATGCAAGGTTTTCCTGAAAAATAAAAAATAATTAAGATAAAAATGAACTCATTTAACATTTTCATTTTCTACCACAGGCTGATTCTTGAGCATGAATTATGAGATGCCATTTTGCATCCATCCAGCACTAAGCTGCTTAACATCTGGTTTGCTTGGCCTCCATGAATTCACATGTAGAATGTCTGTTTGGCCTTCATGAATTCACATGTAGAATGCATGTTTCACAACGATCTGCTTCTAGTTTTGAGATGACAAGAGAATCTCTTGAAATGTAAATCATCTAGAATCATCCACCATCAATATTTGTCAAATCAAATAATTAGAGATGATCTAAGAATGTTTTTCTTAACTCAGTATTGGCTGAATTCTTGTCTTGGTTGTGGAATATCATTTCTAACATAAGGTCACTTTCAACAGTCTAATAGGTTCCTTCAAGATGAATTCTATTGATGGAAGTTGCCATCTGAAAACTGCTTATGCTCTCAACAAACTTCTCTCTGCAGTGTCTAAAGTTCGCCTAAACATTAAAAAGTTTTATGAGAAATGCCCATGCTTTTTCTTTATAGGAGCTTCACTTGCTTTGGGAGATTCTGAATGTACCCTTTGAGTTTTGATTGAGATTTAAAAGGGGATTTCTCAATTCATTCACTTTTACTTATTTGAGATCATATATATTCCAGGGAAA